GTGTGATGTATAACTGCAGACTTGAAATTCCATTGTTAGTCTTGAATTTTATTGTGTTTTACCCAAACCAGTTTTGTATCCATGCAGCTCTGTGCTTCTAAGTAATTTTTTTAAAACAAAATCTATGCAATCAAGAATATCATATGTATTCAAGATAGTTCTTTATATCCCCTAGATGTGATTTGCAAACCTTTATATATATATATATAATTTAGACTCAATAAATGCTGTTATGGCTTCTGCAGGGGGGACATCATACTGCAAGGTCTTGTTCCCGGCCAGTAGCCCTCCACAGCAATGCAAAAGTAAAAAAGTACTTGAATTCAGCTAATAATATATTTTAAATACCCATAAGTGGCAGAGTTTTGTTCTTTATGTTATACTTCTGTTAAATTTAAAGAGTTAATAAAAAGGTTATTTTCACCTTCACAGGACTCTGCCGTCTTCATTCACAGTCAAGCGATAATTTGCTATCAGTTTAGTGGGGTGTGAAGGGCACTGATATAGGCTTCTACACAATTAGAACCCTAAAACTGCTTTACAAAAAATTATTAATCTGAAATAAATTATTAGTTTTTTGGCAGTACACTACAAAATCAAACAGAATTTAGATTTTTTTTTTTAAAATTTAATCATACATCAGGCTGCTGAAGTGATTACTTCATGAATATCAAACATATAATTAAAACACTCTTTATATTATTACAAAGGATTTGTTCTTTATTAACTGATTTGACTAAAAATCTTGTATCTTTGTAAAATATTATTATATTTGATAATCTTTTAAAATGCCTTTAATTAAACACTACAAACTGAAAAATCAAATATTTCCTTGAAGTACTGAAATAATTGTTCTAAAAAAAAAAAAAAAAAAAAAAAAAAAAAAAGTTGAGAAAAGAAAAACACCTTACGAAAGATTCCTCAACCCCAGCTTATAATATAATTGAGTTAACAAATAAATATATTTTTACTAATCAACAAAGTTTAAGATCTTTCAGTCAGTGACAGTATTACAAAGTGTTTTGTAATTTAATCTTTTAAAGACTAATTTTACCTGGATTTTTGACAGTATTTTAAAATCATTATTATTTTATACTCAGTGTCATTAAATGAAGATCCTTTCTATCACACTATTAAACTGACCAATGTACCATATTTTACTGTTTTCACTATTTATAACCTCCTCAAAAAGCACAGAAACAAATGGAACTTCTAAAACTTAAATTATTTTTCAAATGAATTTGAATTTTATTTAAGAATGAAAATTTATTTTCATAAGCTGGAAGCAGTAGACAATAGGTTTATTAAGCACAGAAGTAAAATACTCATACGGTTTTTCATACTTTTCATTTATTTATTTATTTAAATTATTTATCTTTTTTATGAGTAAATTCTTTTTTAAAATGTTAGACTGAAATCTGAACTTTTCAAATTGCAACTAATATTAAAACTGTGGTAACACACCTTTTCAATTGGCCTACTTAGCTTGTATTTAATGTACCAAACAGATGTATAAATATGCAAGTATATTTACATATTTGCTTTTATTTATTTACACACACGCAAGCCTCAATGTCACATCAATGGCCAAGTGGCTAAGACTGCTGAATACTGAAAGTTTGACTTGGGTTCAGTCTCAGGAGAATACGCTAGTTGTATAGTTGGTTTTCATCATTTTGAATTCCATGTAAAAGATAAATATAAGCTGATTTCCCTTAATAAGTTCTTTTCAGAGGCATACCTTCCCTTAGGCAGACAGCCTTTATGTGCTTTGCCTTATTTAAATAATCAGTCACAATGCTCAATTCATATTCATATGTAAGGAAGGTTTAAAATATAAAAATATAATTTATAATTAAAATTAGCAATACCCCTTAATGCTTAATTTTGAGTATTTACTCCCCTTAATTCTAAAAATAGTAATCTTTTTCATTATTTCGAGACAAATTCCTGTCGTATGACTCTTACATAACGCTAGTTGTGTAAATGGAACTAAAATTCAAGCAGCAATTTTATAACATTATTAATCATACAATGAAATGCACTGAAAAACCAAACCTAACTTATTCTGAATTAAGATTTCATCGTGAATACAACTATGTGGTCTGAGCCTGCTAGGCATTCAAACTGACCCTATTTCCTGAATACAACTTATTTGCATTCTACATTTCAGACTAGCTGGACTGTTGCTCTCTTCTTACTGCAAAGCTTTCGACATTTTAAAATAGTCATGAACACACGTTTTTTTTTCCCTTTTTCAAATTAGTTGTTTTTACTTCTACATTTTTTTATTTTACAACAGAAGTTTTTTCTATTTATTTTTATTGAGTTTCAGTTTAAAACTCTTAGTTTATCTAAAATCTTTACTTCACACATTTTAGGCTTTGCTACTATACAGGCATATGTATATGTGTACATAATTTTTTATTTCAAAACTTTTGTCGCTCTTGTGTTGCAGATTTTAAGAACTTGCACCTCTGTTTTTCACTTTTTATTTTTAAATCAAATTTTCATTTATTTCTTTTATTTTTGCATATGTTGGATTACTCATGTTTTTGGACTCGGTCCACTCATTTTGAAAAAAATTATTAGATTTTTCAGCTTGTTTATGATTTATGCTTTTATTTTTTTAACCTGGCCTATATGTTTCCAAAATAAGCATACAGTTTTGTTATTTACAATTTTAGATTGAAATATAATTGAATTTTTGTAATACTTTGAAAGGTTATAATTTTAGCATTTAATATAATTTAATTACAACATAATTTTGTTGATAGAGTGCAAGTATTCTTTTTAGGTAGTATTTATATTATTATGATTTTTCTTAATTTCTTTTCCTATCACAATTTGGCATTTTGCTGTTTCAAGCTCGGTATACTGTAATTATTTTTCTGTTACTATCTAACCATATTAATTCAGAAGTCAAACAACAAAAATCAGCATTATATTTTCAAAATTTTCACAGGACTAGTTTTGATAGTTTTACCGAACCACCATCCTCAGCTGCAAAACCGCAAATGAACAAGATAGGAAATAATGATTAGATGAGATAAGGAAGCCTGGACAAGAATAAGCAAGTGGTGCCATCTGTTGATGAAACCAGAACTAAAACATAATTTCTTTAAAGGCTGAAGGCAAAGATGGCTTGGAATTAGGATCGTTAACTAGAACAGAAAGATTTTTTTTTAATGTGAAATGCCTCTAAAAAATGTTCTAGAGGCTCCATCTTTGCCTTCGGCCTTTAAAGAAATTATGTTTTAGTTCTGTTTTCATCAACAGATGGCGCCACTTGCTTATTCTTGTCCAGGCTTTCTTATCTTATCTAATTATTATTTCCTATCTTGTTCATTTGCGGTTTTGCAGCTGAGGATGGTGGTTCGGTAAAACCATCGAAATTAGTCCTGTGAAAGGCGATTTTGAAAGATGGATTGGATCCAATCGCTGATTTTTCTTGTTTGACTTTTGAATTAGTATTTATTCGGCGTGTTATTGTGTCTTAATCTAACCATATATTTATTTTATGATGCAAATTTTTAACTTTCCAACTCGCATGTTTTTAAGATTACCTCTAAAAATCTTAACTGTTTTGAGATAGCATCTTCTCTACTTTCCATTCATAGATTGTAAACTAATAAGGAATTTATTAATTGCAATAATTCACGTTGCAACATGTGATTTGTATTTACAGCTCTTTTAATCCACTTGCCTGTAACCAGCCATTTCCTCATAAAACTTATATTTGTATTTATTTGATACCTGCAATACCTGCCATCTTCAATATATAAACAAATCAAGAACCACTTGAACCTTTGTATCAATAACCACAGATCTCTCAGTGATAAATGTAATAGCCAACAACTCATGACTTTAGTATTATTAGTATTTCCATTCTTGATGTTGTTTCTAATTAATTGGCTTTTTAAAGAATCCTTTTTCATCCTGAAAAACAGAACCCTTTATCCTTACAAGATGACCACTTTGTGAATAACAATCTACAAAATAATAAAACTTAATAAATTCTTTCCAGCAATTCCACATTTTAAAAAATAAGACCATCACCAGACAACTACAGTAATGGTAAATTTCACGTTTTCTTCCTCTTTTTTTTTTTTTTTTTTTTTTTTTTTTTTTCCTTCTTAGTGACTTGAAGGTAACTAGCTACACTTCTATTTGTACTTTATGTGATTTATCCATTTTTCTTTCATAATTTGGTGTTTTTTAAGCACTGATCACTGATTGCTTATAAGTATTCCTCCTATCCCTTCCCTCTCCAGCATGTCAAATGTATAAAATATTTAAAATCCGCATTCACTTGGAAAGACACTATTTTTACATTTTACCTTGTGCTTTTATTTCAACTAGGACTATAGTAGCACTAAATTTTAATTTTCCTTCCCCCCCTTTTTTTTAGTTTAGTGATTCAAAGATACCCAGCTACATTTTTATTTTTACTTTACGTGATTTATATTTATTGCATATACATGCTAAGCCATCTTTCTCTCACTACTTGGCTTTTCTCAACTATGTATTCAGAGTTTATTGATACTCCTCATTGTGAAAAACTGTTAAGCCTTTTTCGGTTGTCCATTTTAAAATATTTATTCAGATTGCCCTGGGGAATACTTTATGTAATTGTTTATAACTTGCTTTCAAGGTTTAAAAATTGCATTGTACATTGATCTGACTACTTATTTGTTAAAACAGGAAATTGAATTATTTTTGTCCATTCCCCATGACGACAGCAAAAATATATCAATTTAACTGTTCTAATGACTGGCCGTCACTTCTTAATTTTTGCTTTTGTTCTAAAAATTGTTCTTACTGGTTCCCAGCTTTTTTATTGCATTTTTTTAATACTTTGGAAGGTTATAATTTTAGTATTTAACACAATTTAATTACAATATATATACACACACATATATAAATTATACACACACACACACATGTACATATATGTAACCCAAAAGAAAAGAAAAGCTGTAAAATAAAAGCTCCTTTACCTTGTTTTGAAGAATTATTATTGATAATATTAGGAGGAGATGGTCTGGAAGGAGGGACTTTAGTTTTCACTTCTATGCTAGGAGGCATATTTGTCTAAATTGAAAGAATACCTGATATTAAATTATGCATTAAAATTAAAAATTTACCAAAATAAAACAATGAAAAATATTAATTATTTCTGAATTAGCATTTCTGACATTAGAAAACATTTTATGAATATATAAAAAATTCATCTTTGCAGTTAAAATAAAGAAGTATTTCAATACCATTCTCAAAGTTTATTTAATGTTTTTAAATCAAAATCATAAAAAATACCTACTTTCCATAATGCATAAATGCCAAAGGGATATCAAATTAGAAGGAAATAATGAACAGATATTATTCAAAGCAAACTCAGCTTAAACGTATTTCCTTTACTTGATGAGTATAAACTGAAAACTAAGGAGAAAATATTTTTATTTTAAACTTACAAAAGTATTAGCAAAATAGTGTTTAAAACTTGATCCCTAAATTTGTAGGACTCCCTATATAATAAAATTCCATTAATAATATATATATATATAAAAGCATCTTCTGTGTAGCAAACCATTTTAACCCACATATTTAAAGCTCTCTCTCTCTTTTTTTTTTTTTTCCAGTACTTCTTTATTAAAGTGGCCACCACATATATAAAATCATACATTTGATATAACTGTTAAGTTTAACAATTTTGGTGACTAACAGCAGTATTGGCAGACTTAAGAAGTGGAGGGCTCTCCCTCCCCTGAACTTCTGGAGGTCCCATATCTTAAGACAGAGAACATATTTAGTATTTAAAAAAAAAAAAAAAAAAATTAAGGACTGGAGGTTTCTTGTGATTGAAACTTTTACAAAATCCTAAATAACCTCTGAACAGCAGCTGTTACCAAACAGGCCACACACAGGACATTTAAGCCCCATGCAACAAATTTAGGGATGAAGTTTAATAATTTTAGGAACTCAAAGAATGCCTAAGTTTTTTTTTTTTTTTTTTTTTTTTAACTACTATGATAGTATGCGACAAATATTTATTTTTCGTTCTCTAATACTGCGTGACTAAAAAGAAACTGCACCATTTTGTTTTTAAAAAGATCAATATGTGATTTTTTTTTATTGGCACACAGCTTTAACAATGAGTTCTTTTAAAATTCCATAAAATCCTGAGGCAGAGTTTGGTGTCATGCAAGCCAAAATCATGAAGCATCCTGGAATTTCAAGAGACTGCCAAATCATTGTCATATAATTTTTAATATTATACATACTCTGCATCATAAAATGAGAGAACCCTTATTTCATAAGTCCACCGCATATAAAATATTTAGCAATCATTAATAAAAATAAGTGTAATAAATTCCACTGAAACATACAAAAAGGGAGATTATGAAACTATATTTTATTTTGAAGAAGTGAAGGCCATACAAAAGAGCTAACAAATGGCAAATAGCATTAGTTTCCAACCTTTCTGCATATGTGGAACTACTGCATATAAACTACCATATAGGCATTTCTGCATATGTGGAACTTTGAGCGAGAACTACAACTTACAGGCTTTTCTGCTATTAGCAAAAAATGTTCTCCAATGAAGAAACTTTTAAAAACTGCCATTTTTTTATGGTAAGATATCAGACATCTTAAAATAAAATTTTGCATAAGGCAGATTAAGAGAAATACAGATGCAATATAACTTTATTTAAAATTATTAAATTCTCTTTTTATATAACATAAATAGCAATCTAATTTCTAAATTGACTAAATAGTAATTGCACTCGATGATACGCAATGTGTAATGAATGGCAACTAATATGTGCACTGTTTTTAATTAACAGTAAAACAATATATATTTCAAAGCGAGTTATTACCTTAAATGTATCAGTATCTACAAGAGGTAACAACGATTTCATTTCAGCAAGCAATGGCTCACTAAGTCTTCTAGGATCTGTAGCAATACCATTTTCTTTTTCCTATATAAATATTAATAATAAAAAAAAAATCACTACATAAAAGCATATGATCACAAAACATAAGAATTAGCATTTTGAACAGGTTTACGAAGATAGTCATGTGATATATTAATAATCATGTATAAATAGGAACAACAATTTTAAAATACTCTAGAAACTGTTTTATGCTACATCTTAAGAAAATACAGTGTGAATCTTTGGAAAGTGATTAAAAAGATCTGTTTTATCTGATATGGGAAATAATAAACTGTCCTCTTTTATTTATTTAATTTATATTTACAGTTCTAATTTATATCAACAGAGTACACTCAGTTTATTTAACATTTTTATCCACTCTTCATATTTTTAATTTTCTGTTGTAAAAGAATCGTAATGCAATAATAGAGATTATTTTTCATTGCAGTCATTTAGACAAATCCATGCTTCATCAAGGGTCACAATGTATTTTCATTTATCTGTTGTTAAATAGTTTTCCTACACGGTTCTACAAATGGTTCAGCACTGAGCCATATGCATTGGCAAAAGCTGGTGAACATTATGTTTTTTTAGCTTTCTTGTATTAATGGCTCCAATTTGATATATCATCACATAAAATCTGCATACTTAAAAAGTTTACACTTTTTATTTTTTATTTACTTTCACAATTTGTTATTTTTTCATTTATTTCCAGGATATATTAGGTTCATTCCATCACTACAGGATAGCAAATGGTTTACTGACAAAAATTGCAGCACAAGATTTACATCAAAAAAAGTAAATCACAGCATGAAATATATAGATACAGTAGTTAAAAAATTCCTTGTAACCTAACTTATATGAGTTTTATGCTGCTAAATTACTCAACATGAACATAGTCAGAATATTACAATGATGGCAAATGCATCAATATAATATTCTGATGCAATCAATATATAATTCACATACTGACCTAAAACCTGATATAATAATAACTGTCCAAAAAATTTTTAATGAAATTTATAATAATTTCATTAAAATTTTTCATAGTAAATGAAAATGTTAAAAGAAAATATTTTCAGCAGCTTACTTTCTTTTTATTATTATTTATGGTCCATTATAACAGCTTACAAATACAACACTTATAACAGATACAAACTCGGATTTATACAGTTAATGTTAGTTGTAACAATTCCTCATATATTAAAAAATATAACAGGCAGTTGTTTTAACAAAAGAGGATTTAGTATACTCTTGCAAGCTGATAAATCTTTGCACTAATTACTAAACTGGAATGATTATTATAATAAATATAAAAAAAAATATTCATAAACTTTTCATTTTATGTTTTTAAAACAGGTTTTTTAATTAAATGAAAGAGCTACAGGAACTGGGCGACTCATATACAAACAATGTCTATAGATCTAATATATCAGATTTAATTATCATCCATTTCCAGACTCACGACAGTTTTGATGATCACAAAACAAACTGATTTTTTTTTTATATATAATGATATCAATATTAAATCATTCATGCCATTCAACCTTTAGAATATATGTGTAATTTAACCAAACTTACATTGTCTTTAAGAAAAATGTGCGATGGTGGGCGTCTATTGGGAGCTTTAACACGGTTTGCAGTCAAATGCACAAGTTTTTTGCCACTTGATTCTACAGCATCAAAACCTAGTTCATCTGAAACTGTTAGAAAAAATCTTCAGTAATTAACACTTCTGGATATTTCCTAAACAAGTTATGTCACACACACACACACACACACACACACACACACACACAAAAAAAAAAAAAAAAAAAAAAAAAAAATTACTTTTTTTATCATGTTTTTCATTTGATTTAGAAACTTTTTCATTTGTTTTGGTTCCTTCTTCTGCCTTTAAATCAAGTGTAGGAGGAACTGTTACAGAACTCTGACTGTTCTCTGAAACAGGACTCTTCACGGAACTAGTTGTAGTTGGTGGAAGATAACTGGGAAGCTTTATTCCTAAAGAGGACCTGCTCGGTTTTTTCATAGGATGAGGCAATTGGGGTTTTTTGCTTGGATATGGTGGTAATGGTCTTTCAGGTTCTAAAATGTCACATATTTAATATTAGAATACACATTTTTAACATAAAAATAAGCTATAAAATAGAAATACCAAACTAAGTTTTACTAAACAATAATGAATATACATTCTAAACCATAAAATGATGGAATTACAGTTATTTTCATTTAACGTAAATATAAGGAACACAATTTTACAGTTACATAATTTATGAATATATACTAAGTGCTAATAAATATGAAATGATAGATGGCAGTATATTTACATATGTTGATTAGCTAAACACATTCTGATAAAACCCAGATAGTTATGACCCCAAAACTAAGAATTTGTATCACTGAAATGACAATATTCATACAATGTTCACAAGCTTCAGCTGTCAGCAGCTTGTTTCTAGTACAAGAAGAATATAAAACCGGTAGTAGATGCTGAGGCATTAGACATCCACATCCAAAAAATAAATAGATGTTAGAAACTGACGTGCATGAAGAAACCAAACAGGCAGTTGTTAGAAGTCAACTGACTACTCAAAACAATGCACATCCAAGTACAACAGTATCTCAGCACAGTTCATTGGACTCTAATGAATGTGGGACCAGGCAGAAGCAATACCTTGCATGTTGTTCTATTAACTCTGTCATCCATATATACAACTATGAGCCATGTGAGCCTGTGAATGTCATGATTGGTATTAAACAACCATGACAAAGAGCTGCCTGATCATATAAATCATAATTTCTTTTATATCATATTTATGGCCTTGTCGGATACACTATCTTTCAAGCAAACAGCTGACTGATATATAGAGTGAGACATAAAAATAAATAAATAAACAGAAGTATTATACTTTAGGGGAAATTCTCATCTGCATCCCTGGTTTATGAGGTGTATGCAGAATGCACTATAATAACTATGGATTATGTGAACAACATTATTGACCAGTTACACTACTTCATAATTTCTGCCCACCACACCAGAAATGCACTCTTCCAGCAGGACTTGTCATAATGAATTATGTTAACAGTATTCCGAAGAATGTGCTGATGAATTCTCGTGTCTTGACATTCAGAGACGTGTGGGGAGAAACTAGAGAGAGGGGTGTGTCTAAAGTGATGAACGTAATGACTGTGCGGTATTGGCTGGTGTTGTTTGAGTAAAACGTATTTTTTTTTATTCTGTGTCCTTCGTTTTTGTTTACTTTTTGTAGTAGGTTCCAGGAATAAAGAAAGATATAACGGATGTTTCAAACCCATTTATCTTTCTGAATTATTTTTTGATGAACTGCTCGTGCTTCATATTGTTACTGAAACTAACCATTTTGTAGAGAAGTATATGAACCAACACCTTGCAAACGAAAAATCAAGAACAAAATCATGGCATTCAACCAGTTTAGAAGAAATATAGGTTTTTTTAGGCATACTGATTTCAAAAGGTATAACACTAAAACCTGATATTACACTTTACTAGTCTAAAAATGAATTGATCGAAACTCCATTTTAGGGATCTTTTTTATTATAAAAACATCATTTTTATTACCGTATTTGACGCATATAAGATTCACTTTTTCTCCTAAATTTGGTCTCAAAAAAAGTTACCTGCCTCTTATATGTGAAGGACACAGGTTAACTTTCAATACTGAATGCTATTTTTAGCCAGGATAAAGGTCTAGACATACATAACTTTTTCTACATCTGCCATAATTATTTTGCGCATGCGTGAAATATCTGTCGCCAAAAAGCGCCAAAGCTCGAAGCTGATGTCGAAGTTCGAACAGGTTCGACGGTCACATTACGTCTATGGAGCCTTTCTTTCTTTGCATAGACTTTCTTTGACTCAGCCTACACACGTGTCGATATCGGTGCTACTCTGTACAAACGTGTCGGTATCGGTGCTTAAAATTATTTGTATAAAAAAAAATATCCTGGAAAATATGACTACAGGAAACAAGAGATTAAGCTATACAATTCAATATAAACTAGGAGTGTTAAACTACGCCAAAGTGCATGGAAACGGAGCAGGAGCAAGGCATTTCGGTCCACCACCTACCGAAAAAATGATACGTACTTGACGACTGCAGGAAGATCAACTGAAGACTGCTAAAAAACAAAAACACAACCTTCGATTCCCAGCTCCATCTTGGCCTGAACTTGAAAATGCCGTAAAAATGTGGGTGATAGATAAGAGGAAATCTGGGATAAGTGTTTCAACTAAAATGATAATCAATGAGGCCGAAGGATTTGCAGAAAAACATGGGAATCAGAACTTTTCAGGGTCTGAGGGCTGGTGCTACAGGTTCATGAAAAGGCAAGGCTTATCAATGCGCACAAAAACAACTATTGCACAGAAAATGCCAGCAGATTATGAAGAAAAAATACTAGCATTTCATAGGTTTGTTACAAATGCACGCAAGAAAACTTCTTTTGAGCTCGGTCAAATAGGTAATATGGATGAGAGAGAAAGAAACCAAAGTTATTGTGGTCGAGCGCTTTTGTGCGAATTGTTGAAACTTTTTTTCCTTGTGTATGGCCTTCTAAATAAGGGTGCGTCTTATATGCTGTCAGATACGGTATACTTACATCATTTTATTATACTTTTACTCAAAACATTAAATTTTGTGCATTAATTTTTTTCTTTTATTCTTAATTTTGTGGGAAAAAAAAAAAAAAAAAAAAAAGATTTTAGAAAGTAAAACTTGCACTTATTTTCCCCCCTAATACATCGCATAACTACGTGCACCTGTGTAACTCCCTAACTGTGTACGTTTTCCACGGCAGTTAAGGAGTTAATCCTATTGAGCACATGTGGTATGTCAGATGGCACCAGCTACCTCCTCATAATCTAAGGAACTGCATAGCATCTACTGGCAAATCTGGCACAATCTTCTTGATACTTACCATAAATTTTCAGAATCAATGCAATAATGCATTGCAGTCGTTTTGCATTCCAGAGCGGCAGCAACATGATGTTAGCAGAATGGTCATAATATTCTTTTTCTGATATTGACATATATAATATACATGCATGCTTGTGTGTGTTTATATATACACACAATCAATCCTCATTATAAGGCCCTCTTAAATATATATACCCATGAATGACTTACAATTTTAAAAACTAACCTTTTTTATGAATTTCAGGTGGAGGTGGTTTGGCAGGAGCTGTTTTTGTTGTTTTTTTATCTAGTTTAGGAGAGCACTCAGAAGTTGCCTTTTCTGAAGTGGCTGATTTCAAGCTGGCTTTAGTGGCCACAGCAGGTTTATCTGGCCTCTCAGGCTTTTTTTGCTGGAAAGTACATACTGCAATTAGCACTGTGTTGGTGATCAAAAGGAAGTATAAAAATGTTTATGCAGTAAATTTAACTCAGTAATTTAAAACAGAAATAATGGGAAAATATAATACATAATTGCAAAATAGAAAATGTTAACATGGATCACAAGTGACATTTTAAAAATTACTGAAAATTAATAGGATCAAGAACTCATTGTAATAAACATAATGCTGAATAATAAAACAGGGTTTGTACACATTTCTGCACACGAAAATTAAGTACTTTTAAGGACTTTAAGACCATTAATGAAAAAAAATTAAGACCCTATAAGCAAATGGGAACTGAATAAATTCAATTAAAAATGTTATTCTATGCCAGAATTTCACTTTTGTAATATCCTAAAAATAAAATAGATCTCTAAGTAGTATGCATTATTACTAAACATGAATTAATTAACATAATTATTAATAAGTTTGAGAATAAAATAAACTTCATGCAATTTATCAAATAGCATTAAATATTTTACACTGATAATAGTAGGACATATTTGAAAGAAAATAAGTGACATTTACATTTTATTAGTAGTTAGCTTTACGTCGATTTATGTCTCATTTTGTCACATACATGGTCAGTCTAGAGGTTTAGTAAATAGCAGGTATTAGATTTTATGTCAAGCGGCATAGGTTAAAATGAAGAGTAAGATCATAATCAGCATAATTTCATAACAAAAGACAATGTTGTCACTGCTGCTGATTGTCCAGAGAGAGACATGCTGATTCGAACAAACCTGAAAGGCCTGATGTAGGTATGATTGGCAAATGTTGAAATTTAATCAAGCTCTGTTTGATGCAGTTAGTGTCATAGCTTTGTGTAGAGTTCCAGAGGTTATAACCCAGTTAATATACTTTAAGATCCCAAAAAGCTATTAAAGCACCAGAGGTGATAAGTTATTTTGCATTATTTTAAGTCTCACAAGATACAAAGAATACGTTTTACTTGAATTTTTACATTTTTGTGTTTTATCTTGTGACCACAGTGAGTATTAATGAAAGGCAATAACTCTCTTTAATATGTAGAGATAATTTTTAAGGGTAAGCAGTTAGTTATAAATGTTTAAATTAGGTACCGTATATACCCGCGTATAAGTCGAGATATTTTGGACAAAAAAAAAAAAAGACTTCAAAGTGGGGGGGGGGGGTCGACTTATACGCGGGGCCATAAAAAATTAAAAGAATCGGAAGTTCAAAAATTTCTTTATATAATGCAGTTGTTTTCTTCCCGCACTCAAACTGGACGACTAATCAAATAAGTCACTTACTTGAAGTAATTTCATGACTTAAATTATGTGACGAACTAATCACAGAGTTTCATGCTTTAACTAGAGTAAGTTTCGATTAAACCAAAGAATTTTCACCCCCGAACAACCGATCAATATCGAGCAATAAAAAGGTTTCGCCAACACGCCAAGAAAAGAGAAATGCAGATAGTTTTTAACGTATGTATAAGTCTTTATAATAGTTATTGTTCATTCATGAAATACTTTTGTTAACAGGCATACATGTCAAAATTAAAAAAAATAGCCCACGCAATAACTGAACAGTTTTGAATATTTCTTTTAACTTTTAAAAAGGGAAAATGCAGATAGATTTTACGTACGCAAATCTTTTCCGGAACAAATTCTAGAAGGTTACTATATACGATCATTTTTCTCCAATTATCCTGCGTTTTAGATTCCGTAATTCTGGTAGGATTGAGATCCATCATTCAACCCCTAGATGTCTGCCTCAATAAGCCATTCAAAGTAAATCTTAGAAAATATTGGGCAGAGTGGATTAGTTCCAGTCGACCAACATTTACAAAGGGAGGCAACATTAAAAAGCCCGATATTACATTAATTGCTCAGTGGGTTAAAGATGCTTGGAACGAAATACCCTCTGAAATGATTATAAAATCATTTTAAAAAATGTTGTATTAGCAATGAACTAGACGGCACGGAAGATGATGCTGTTTTTGAAAGTGAAAGTGACGACGAAGGCTCTAGTAGTGATTGTAACAATACAGAGTTCAAGACTGAAAATATGTATGATGACGAGCCAATGACGACAAAAGAGTTCTATGAAATGTTTGGCGAATCTGACCATGAATCGGACGTTGAAGGATTTTGATTTTGTTTATTTACCAAGGTATTTTTTATTGTATATTTACTTCTTTTTCTCAGATGATTTTGAATAAATGTAGCACTTAAAAAAAATATTTCGAAGTTTCTCGATCGATTTCGGAAGTGGGGGGTGACTTATAAGCGGGTTTCTTATTTTCTACGAATTTTTTATGTCGAAGTGGGGGGTCGACTTATACGCGGGTATATACGGTAATTAGATAACCTTAGTCATTATGGATTTACATGGCCCCTATTAAATTTTATTTTTTAACAATATTTGTTAAAAGAGCCCTATTAAAATAACAATCTAATAGAATTTCACAACCTAAAATACATGTAATTTATGACATTGATTCTTAAACGATATTAGGATTAAAAGCTAAAAGCTAAGCACATTAAAATGTACTAAGCTCAGCACATTAAATGCTAAAAAAACATTTATGTTTTGTAACAACAACACTCAACAAAATATTTACCCATCATTTTAATTTAAAGCCTTCCCAAACATTTTAGCTAGTTTATATTGATTTCCTTCTCTTTAAGCATCTTTTCTAACAATCAGAGATTTGTCTCAATATGCAAACCAATGCTCTCGCTTGTTTCTGCGTGCTTTATCTCCTAACTTATCAAACCTCTCCACAATGTACCTATGAGGGTTTACTTGATCTGGTAAAAATTAAATAGTCCCAAACTCCAGACAGATGTGAAGCAAATTATCCCTATGTCGCCAAATTTGGAACGTTTAATAAAAGAATTCACATCCCCAAAAGCGAAAACTTGTTTAAGAGCTCTTTATTACACAAAATGAATTTCGAAATACTCATGTTTCCCTTCTTGCTTAGAAACTCGAGTATCCCATCATTTATATTAGAAATAGAAACAAATTATAACCCATGAACCCATTCAAAGGATAACCATATATGTCAATGAAACGCCAAAAATATTCCTCCAAAATGCTAATTCACACTCAAAATGGCAGTCGTAAAAACAGACAGAAATTTCAGATGATTAAAATTAAGGACCTTCTGCTGATTTTGGCCAAAATTAAGGACTTTTAAGGACCAAAAATCGATTCTAAAAAATTTAAGGACTTTTAAGGATCGTACAAACCCTGTTAAACTTAAAATACAAATATAAAACAAATATACAAATAAAATCCAATATAAATAATAAATGTAAATGTATCTAATGTTAATACTGGATAATTTATTAACATCATATAAAAAACGACATTCAAAAGAAGTACAAAATGTAATCAATCACACAAGAATGTGATATCCATTGCTCTATCCTTTATCAAGGGTGCTATGTACCAAGATTAGACAACATACACTGAAAAGCAAAAACATTATAACCACCTGCTCAAATAACGCATTGTGCAACCTTTGGTCTAAAAGAGATGCAATATGCCTTGGATGCCACAAGTTCTTAGTAGATGACTGGAGACGAGTTGTACCAAATGCCTACGTGGCGGTCACGCAGAGTCAAGATATTCCGTCATGGCGCCATTTTTTAAGCTCCGAGTTGCAGCTCCATGACATCCCAAATGCACTCTATCAGGCTAAGATATGCCCAGTTAGGTAACCAAGACATAAACTGGAATTCATTCATATGTTCCTCAAACCACTACAAAACAATTCGAGCCTTGTGACATGAGACGTCCTGCTGCAAGATTTCGTTAAGAATTTGAAAAAACAGACACAATGTAGGGGTGCAAATGATCTTCAATTACATTCAGATAGTACACAGCTGTCATGGTCTGTTCTACCATAACTAAGGGTCCCAGAGCCACCCATGAAAACCTCCCCCATACTAAAGCATAATGCTGCCACCACCAGCCTGTGTATCTTTTATATCAAAGAAATATATATCATCAATTGTAACTAAATCTTAGTAACTTGTTCAGTACTTGCACCAATGATACACCTTCTAGGAAGGGCAAGAAAGAAGGATTTGTTTCTTTGATAAAAAGTAAAAACAAATTCAGAAAAGTTAATGTCATTTCACTGTATATTACACTGGCAAAACCTGCACTGAAGCAACTATTTTACAGATATTATGGATATAAAGTTATTACAACTGTTTAATGCAATGTGCAACAGCGTATTTCGAAACATGTTAAATGATGAAATACACAGTTTTGATCTGTCCTATTATTGCAAAATTCATTGATTATCTAGGGGACAAATTGTCAATAAAGTTTATAAAAACCCTGTTGAATTATCACACAAAAAGTTTTGTAGAAACTTAACTAAAAAGAATTTTGCTTTTTTTCAGATATGATGACAAAACAAAATGATTTCAATATTTCCCTCCAAGGTAAAACAAAACATATACTACATAATATATAGCAAAAAATTAATGCTCTTCAAAAGAAGATGACCTATTTCAAAACTCCACTCTCTTGAATGGATATCTGAAAAACATTTTTAGTTATTATCAAAGAACTGAAACAATCAGAAAACAATCAGAAATATGAACTTCGAAAACCTGGATAATTAAGTAACTGTCTTGGATGCTTTAACTGAAGAATACATGGATAGATTTTCAGATTTTGAGTAGCATAACCTTATAATACAACTAACTTTTAAACTGCATCTTATCAATGTCTCAAAAGCATCTATGGAACTACAAATGAGCTAATCGAGTTTGGAGAAATTATATTATTAATTATCTTTTTGTTACTAAAAAAAATTTTTAAATAAACATGGAAAAAAGGCATTAATTTAGAAGTCAAACAAAATCAGCGTTATATTTACAATTTTTCACAGGACTAGTTTCGATGGCTTTACTGAACCATCATCCTCAGTTGCCAAAGCGCAAATGAACGAGATTGATTCAATAAGATAAGATAAG